CACTAATCAGAAGAAAAATTTTATCTATTTCTTTAATTTTTTATCCCTTTTTGGTATATATTATATATAATATATCCCAAATTATAATAAGAATAGATATATTTCTAATATAAGGTTAAACAATTTCAGTGATTTTTTGTCTGTTGTTACCTCATTAAAAAGATAATTATATAACTATTGTATGTAACCATGAAACCTATATAGTTTTTCTTAAGGAATTTAGGAAAATTAAGTTTAAAAAAAAAAAAAAACACATGCCAAACAAGAAGCACCTTAATAAGGTTTTATTACCCTCAGTAAAGGGGTGGTTTTTAGTTAAAAGAAAATCTTTTTTTTAACAAAACTCTAAAACTTTAAAATTAATATAATTAAATTATTATATAAGATAATTTAATTTAACTATCTCTATTTGATAAATCTGAGAATCATGTAAGGATGTAAAAATATGTTTTTATATATATGTTTTTTTTATTGTGGCTGTTGTCATGTCAGAAAAAAAAGAAATTAATTTTAACAGCTTAATAAAAAAAAGTATAGGTTTTTTGGTCAAGTATGGTTTAGACTGGTCGAGTATTGTTCAGACCTTTGGTCGAGTATGGTTTAGACTGAAAAAATTGGTCGAGTACAGGTCGAGAATGGGTTAAGACTGTTTCAGACTGGTCGAGTAATAGTTCAGACTATTTTCAATGGCAAAGATAATGGTAAAGTACAAATCAGTACGGTCGAGTATGGTTAAGACTGGGGTCGAGTAATGTCGAGTAAAATTCAGACCAATTCAGACTGGTCGAGTAAAAATCAGTACAGTCGAGTACAGATATAGGCCATTTCAGACCTTTACTGGTTTGTAGTGATTATGTCATCTTTTAACTTTTATCTGGTCAAAAATTTCTTTTAGAACGAATGCATGATCAGCTTTAAAAAGTGTGCAAACACAAAACATATAGACAAAATAAACTTCTTTCCTGTCTGTTTCGTACTTGCAAGTTATTAGACAGTAAAAAGGCTATTTGGATCAAGCCTTGTGAAATTTGCATTTGCTTTTTGCATAGGTGAAATGTATAGTTTGGTGATCTTTTCTGCTAACTACTATACTTGTGAAAAACCCTTGGCAACAGAAACATATTCAGCTTTTTTTTTAATCGACCCAATTTACATAGCAATGGACGTACATTTTATGATCGCAAATAAAATATGTATATAATATACTGTGCACTGTAGTTCGTATATATACTGAGACCCTTTGGCAACCCCACAGTTTAAATGTTTATAATAAATACGTCGTGAGTTGTGGGCGTTACAGACGAACGTTCACCTAATCTGACCCAGTCAATGGGATATTTTAGCGCGCCAATCAATGGTCTCGGCTACACTGTTTTGCACATGATTATATATAGATATATAGTTGGTTGTACGGCGTTTATATAATTGTCTCATTGAAAATCTCCTCATTTTATACAAAATAGAAAGTAACACAATGTTTTTTTCTGAATTTTTTGAACGTGAAGATTTAATGAGTCAAGCACTTTGCAATTGATGGTTTCAGTTTGCTTGCATATTGTGCTGTTACATGTACCCCATTATCACATGTTTGGGGAGGGTTGACCGTTCACAAACTTGTTTGACCCTGTGTATGTATTGAGTCTATATCAACACAGTTAGAATGAAATTTGTAGCTAGCAAAGATAATGTGACCGCAAAAGAACGACAAAGAGACATATACAAGTTCATTCCGATGATGTTTTTAATTCTATATTTAAAAGTATAGAATATTATTTACTGAGACTTAGCAAGTTTAATAGACACTAGATTTTTCCAAACTGCGTAAATTCAATTTACATATACCAATAAAAACTGGTTGTTGTTACACAATAAAATGTAACTTGTGTGCAGAAATGGTATGGATTTCAATATTTTGTTTATCTTGTGTAAAAATGAAAACATCGTATCCTAAAGACATGAGAAATAAACAACATATACATACGTACTGCAAAACATACGGGAACTTTGTCATGTTTGAAAGTTTGCTGTCTATTGGTTATACTGAAAACAACTGTCCTTTGTTTTAAGATAAGTATTGACTGGTATATAAATATACGACACAAAAAAACTATAAAAAGCGACAAGCTTGTACATTGATACTTTTAAATATGTATTGTGTTAATCACAAAGACAAAATAGATATCAAAGAACTTATCATTAACTTTAGTAATAAAATATCTGAAAATAGTGGAATTAACTATTTTTGGAGTGTAAAAAAATCTTTGGATGTTTAAGATAAATTACGTGCTTTTGATGGTCCTTTTGATTCTGTTGACCATTTTGATTTTTCAACTCTTTACACTACACGTCCACACAATCGTATCAAACAAAATTTTTCCTATCTAATTAAGAATGTATACCTCGGGGGAGCCAAAAATTATAGTATTATACTTTTTTTCTTAACAAGATTATTGGGTTTATATTACTGTAAGAAAGTAATTGGTGAAGAAAAAAATGTATGGTGGTGCACTTCTTGTTTTGCTACGGCCATTTGAAGGTATCGAACTTTAATGATTTTCCCATTTTTCATCAATATTTACCCATTTTGGGCTTTTATCATGAAAAAAATCACAGTTTCACAATTAAACTTTTTTTCATACTTCCACTAAAGATGAAGTGGATCAATCTGAATAAATTCAATTTAAAAAAAAAACTATAGGTAGGTGCTAATATTAGAAAGTTTTATAAAATTTTGTTGCTTTTTCGTGTCAAATTGACCATGCTGTCAATATTGTAAATTTGGAATTTTTCCTTTTTTTAGAAGAAAAAGCATATTATTTCAACTTCTTTTGACATAAATGATTGGAAAAAAACATATCTAAGAAATTTAAAAAGAAAACATTGATTGCAATTGGATATACATATTTTTGGTAAAATTATTTCTTGTACCCCTCACCTATTTTCTCAACATTTTGGCTGATGAGACTGACTGTATTGGCTATAAAATTTGAAAATTCTATTACTCAAAAACTACTTATTGTATTTTGGATATTCAGTGGTTGTCGTTTGTCGCTGTGTTAAATATTTGTTTTTCGTTCATTATTTTGTACATAAATTAGGCCGTTAATTTTCACGTTTGAATTGTTTTACATTTGTCATTTCGGGGTCTTTTATAGCTGACTATACTGTATGGACTGTGCTCATTGTTGAAGACCGTAAGGTGACCTATAGTTCTTAATTTCTGTGTCATTTGGTCTCTTGTGGAGAGTTGTCTCCTTGGCAATCATACCACATCTTCTTTTTTATATATACAATAAATTAATATGGTAAAACATGCATACACTTGTCATATTTTATGTGTTCGGATGAGATTTGTTTTTAATTTTGAAATCAACTGTAAATGCTTTTTAAAATTTTGTTTTTATTAATGAAAAATTCGTAAGGGGTTCCGATTACTGTGTAATGCTGTCTTAAACAGTGATTCCATTTATCAGTAAAATACAGAATTTAAAAATACAAAAAATCAAACTTTTTCTTCTTATGCTTTTTCTTTGTCTTGAAGCTTAGAGTCTGCCCAATTTTCATAACAATCCATGAAGGTTTACAAATTTACAAATTTATCATGTCAAAATAAATGTTTTCAAAATTTTCTCTGGATACTGTATTTTGGTCATTAACAAGCTTCTGTCCAAATTTTGTTAAATTCAATAAAGGTTTGACAATGTTATTGATGACTGAAAAACTTTAAACTCAGACTGAGCCTGCGTGTTAACTGTAAAAAAGAAAACTAAGTCCACTTAACGTCCACTTATCAGTAAAATATGGAAAAATGAAAATGAATATTTTCAAAATTTCGCTCTGGATACTGTCTGTTGGTCCTAAAAAATCTTCTGTCCAAATTTTATTAAAAGGTTATTGATGACTGAAATGCTTTAAACTCAGACTAAATCTGAATGTGAACTGTAAAATAAATTAGTCCATAAATATCGCAAGCTCGCCAAAAATGAATGCTGCCTTACAAATTGGGAAGAAATTGTTTTAAATGCAATCTAGACATTGTTGTAAAGTATTATATTGCCGAACATTTTAGAATCAAAGAAATAAGAGTAATCTTTAAAAGGTTTCGGCAATTCCACAAGCCTTCATCTCCACAAATAGGAAATATAGCATTGAACAATTATGAACATTATTGCTTTATGTTTAAATCCCCTAACCCTCTCGCCAAGATTGATTTGATTGATTTTTGGTGTTTTAACGCCACTTTTAAGCACCGCTTTTGGGCTATTTCGTGGCGGCCAGTTTTTATTGGTGGAGGAAGCCGGAGTGCCCGGAGAAAACCACCGACCTTCGATAGGAAAACTGGCAATCCTAGTCAATTAAGATTGGAGTCGAGTGCACCCGCACGAGCGGGGTTCGAACTCACAACCTCAGTGTTGACTGGCTAGTGATTACAGTAGTAACTACTTAGACCACTCGGCCACCGAGGCCCCTTCTCGCCAAGAAGGAAGAAAAATAGGCATATTATAGATGCATATGGTTTATAAAAAATTAACATTCAAAATATTTATGCGACAAAATACGTGTTTTTATGTAAATTGATAGTATTTAATGTAAATAGAGTGTTCAACAAAAACAATACAAAGTCAATACATATAACAACAGTTGAAAATATTTTTGTTAACCTGAACAGAAAAGAATTCTTACAAATATCTAAAACGACTAAATACAATATTTACATTGAAAGAAGATATTGAACTACGAACATTTTCATATTTACCAAGTCTTAAGCTTAATTACTTATGATTTTCTTTTTAATGACAAGTCTCATAATTCTTAATTTACATTTTTGCAATTTATTCTTACAAAAAAATGACATATTTTCGTGTTTCAGGAAAAGATTTGTAGACGATATACAATTTTTTCATATTCATTATTACTACACTTATTTCATATATTAAGTAACAAATGATCAATTTTGTCTTGTTACCGACATATGCAATCAAACATAATTTCACCGAACCGGAAGACTTGTCTTGTATAAAACAGTTTGAAAATTCCAATTGAATTACTTCTAGTTCGGAAACTACAAGCTATCAGGTAATATATCTCGCTTTAAAATACTGTATGGCAAGTTTTTGGATAATATGTTCCCTATTCTTTATATATCAATAATTATTTTTTAATATTTAAAAATTGAAATGTTTATACCAAAAATATTTTTTTCAATATTAGAAAAACCTTTTTTTTATTTTGATTAATAGCCTTAATTTTTAATAACAAATATACTATTTGTAGTATTGAAAATCAATTTATTAATATCAAAAACATATTATTAATATTAGAAAATAAATAAAATGAATTCATGTTAAATTTATCACTTTTGGTGGACAGATATACAAAGTAAAAACCATTATGGTATTTAAAACAAAATTAAGTTGTTTATTTTTTTTCCCTAAGGAAATTTGTTTTAACATCAGTTCATTTGAACATATTTATAGTTTGTAAAACTAAATGATGATTTATTAATAAGTTACATTATTTGTTGATAAAAGATGTTTACACAATCACGATAACAAGACAGAACTTACAAACAAAAAAGGAGATAAAAAGAAATTTTTTAAAGTATATTTATTTTCCAATAGTCTATTTCACAAGAGAAATAATGTATAATGCTTATTTCATAATTATCCCGTGAACATTTTTCCGAGTAAACTTTTATATTGCACGAGCTTGCGAGTCTACAAAGGATAATATTCACCAATATTCATGAAATAACCCTGTTATTGTATAGCATAGATTGAAAACTGTTTAAAAACATATGATACTGATTTCGTCACTCATTTGAACCTTTATTTGCACTAGTACAAGATGATATAATATTGCATGCTTAATATTCACGTTTAGTTACGTTCCGTATAAAATCTGTTGTTGCTAAGTATATTTTTTAAATTCTTTTTAGAATGAAACTTGCCATCTCTACTGTCACCATCTTAGTCTGCCTTTCTGGTATGAAGGGAATTCTTGCCGACGACGATTATTATGGGGGAAGTTACGGTGGGGTCGGTGGATACGGCCAAAGCTACGGAAATGGTGGATACGGTCAAAGCTACGGAAATAGTGGATACGGCAGTAGCTATGGAAATAGTGGATACGGTCAAAACTACGGAAATGGTGGATACAGCAGTTACGGAAATAGTGGATACGGCAGTAGCTACGGAAATAGTGGATACGGCAGTAGCTATGGAAAGGGTGGACACATGGGAGGTTACTCAGGATATGGTGGATATGGAAAGGGATATTCTGGTTATGGAAATGAAGGTCACCACGGATATGGCAAAAAGGGAGGTTACGTCGATGAAACAATCCATTATTTACCTCATCCAGTTCCAGTTATCGCCCCTTCCGCTATGATTGGAGGCGGCATCGGTAGTGGTATTGGTGGCGGTATTGGCAGTGGTATTGGTGGTGATAGCATGTCACTACGTAAGTTGATTTTTATCTTTTCATGTCAATCAACAAAACAAAACACAAATATAAATGCATATACACTTTTAAGCTAAATACAGAATTTGAATACATACATTTTGTAGCTTACTATGTGGTGTGGGTTTTGCACATTGTTGCAAACTTCTACATCATTTGGTCTCTGGTGGAAAGTTATCTCGTTGACAATCTAAGCATAATAAATCCCTAAATTTATATAAAGAAATGAAATTCAAATTGTTTGAAAATTTTGATATATCTTGAAACTTTTTCACTTGAATATTTATATCTTATTCAATTGAAAACCAGAAAAATTTGAACGATAAGAATATGTTTTAAACAACCAGTCAAATTTCTCAAAAAATGAAAACATGGTAAGACCCCACATACATGTAAACTCTGTCACACTATGTCGGTGACGTTTTTTTTAAAAACTGAAAAATGTAAGTATTAAATAGTTTGAAAGCTCGCCTGATTTAGATTGAGATAAAGAAGATCAAATGTATTTGAAAAGTGATATTGACCATGTCGTTGTATTCATTCTCTTTCCTACTTAATAACAACGTATACCATATGCTGACCTGTATAAATCTATTTACCGGTCCGCTGTGTTATGGGGTTAATTGCTGTCTCATTGACGGATATTATATTGTCTGTTATATATTTCAGTTCCACTCCTTTTATTGGTACCGTTCTTGTTCAGAAACAACGACGATTAAACAGCTTTAACCTCATTATGGTAAGTGTATTCTACTTGTCAATATATACAGCAATCATGAAAAATACGAGGTAGATACCAAATGGAGAATCAAAAACTCATGAGACGAAGAGATGGCAACACAATCATAGCAAAATACACGAAAGCGACGAAAAGACGACCAACAGTCGACAAAACACTAAATAAAAATCTAAGGACTGAGCAACACGACCCCTTAGGGTGTTTACCGTCAGTAATTATTTCATGTGTTTGTATTTCAACCTCAGATACTTTTTCCTATTTTTGTTATTTTTTGTTTATGCTTTCCCTGATAAATGTACCTGTTGACGATTAACCAAGAAAAAAAATTCTTGCACATTAAAATAAGCATCTAAAATATGAATGTTTAAGACACTTTAAAATGTTAAATAAAACAGATTACATAGAATCCATGGAATGAGATATGCCAGAATTTAAATTTGGTACGCTTGATGCGCGTTTAGTCTACAATAAAATTACCTATGACGCTCGAATAAAAAAGTTAGAAAGGCAGTTCTAGAGGGCAATACACGTATGTGTTCTAAAATTCGATCCAATCGAAGCTTCATGTTTTTACTGTTAAGGTATCAAATGCAAATATGTATGATTGATTGCTTTTGGCAAATATTTCATGATCTTTGATATCAGATTCATTCAAGAAAGTAATACCTGTGCCAAATAAACCGCTGATGTCTGCAGCCTGCATTACATTGGAAAAATAGAAAGTATTTTATATCTTGTTTGTAACTTTTGAATTTTCATTTTAGAAATTTCAAACCATATTTTAGAGAAGAGAGATAACACTTGAATCATCGTGTGAATGCAGTGAATGGAATAGTTTGATAAAGTTTACACGACAGTACCACAATGCAGAATGAATGTGAAGAGATTCCATTGTAAAAAGAAAAGAAGAAATTGTAATCAGTTGATTGTTTATATATAATTTGTTATTAAAAATAATTTTATTGTATATGGAGAATTGGGAAGATTTTTTCTGCAAATTCAAGTTAAATGTAGGATGATTACGTACTGGTGTAAAGTTGTACACAATAGTAGTAAACTCAGTAGTGCTCTGTACAGGCTGATGTTATCATTGAAGAATCATGGTCATTATGTTTTCAAATGGGTTAATTCTGTAGAATCAATATTTAACAACACTGGTCTAGGGTGTATTTTCATGAATCAGATCGACTTTTGTGATAAAAATTGTCTCTATCGAATATTGAGTTATCAGTTTATTTCCTATTGGTTTGGCGATATAGCCAATTCATCTCGGAGACCATTTTATGAGACATTTAAAAAAGGACTTTGGATTAGAAAAATATCTGATCAGACTGTTTGAACAGAATAGAGGCTTGGTAAGAAAATTAAGGACATCGAACTCACGTATTCCAATCAAGCAAAATATACCTAGACCAGAGAGAATGTGTACTTTATGTTCATGAATTTGTTGGCGATGAATTTCATGTTTTATTTGTATGTCAACTTATTCTGCTGTTAATTATAGAAACCAATACTTACCTAGATACTATACTATTAATTCACAATACATTAAAACGGAAGGATTATTGTCCATTTGTAATATGGAAGTCTACAAACGACTTTCAATTTTTATTACGAAAATTGCTGGTTTAATCTAAATATTTTCAAATTGATTTTTATGTGTTTAAATAGTACTGAATGCTCATTTTTTCAAATTTTTCTTTTAATTTTTTCTTTTTTCTTTTTTCTTTTTTTTTTAATTTAATTAAATTTATTCTATTTTATAATTATTTGTTTAACTATGTTATTGGTTTTATTTTCTCGTTTATATATATCGGCTAAGGATTTCGTATGTTGACATGTAAAAAATAAAATCACAAAAATAATGAACTCCGAGGAAAATTCAAAACGTAAAGTCCCTAATCAAATGGCAAAATCAAAAGCTAAAACACATCAAACGAATGGACAACAACTGTCATATTCTTGACTTGGTACAGGCATTTTCTTATGTAGAAAATGGTGGATTAAACCTGGTTTTGTGGCTAGCTAAACCTCTCACTTGTATGACAGTCGCATAAAATTCCATTATATTGACAACGATGTGTGAACAAAACAAACAGACATAATAGGAAAACATGTCAAAAATAGGGATACAGCAGTCAACATTGTGTTATTATCTTAATCACTATAAAAAAAACCAAATATATAAACAAACATTTACCATTGCACAATAACACAATCACGGGACGTATAAGGACAGAGCCACGTCATATATAACAAAGAAACACAAAAAGGCATATAGGCAAAGCATATTAGCAAAAATGAAAGACAAGAATACAGAAATTATTATAGAACAATAACACAATGACGGGATGTATAAGTACAGTGCCACGTCATATGTAACAAAGAAACACAATAAGGCATATAGACAAAGCATATTAGCAAAAATGAAAGACAAGAATACAAGTTTTTTTACTAATTAGTTATTATGTGATGTCACGAACATGTTATTACATCATCTTGTAGTACTCTCAAGTACTAGAACAATATTTATTTGACATCTTTTTTATAGTATTTAATAAATATATATATATTTTCTTTTTACATTTATTTTTCATTAAATATCTAAATTAATTTTGGTAAAGACATTTTTTTTGTAGTTGTATATGGTTACAAGAGCGCAATTATTTGTTTACATTTTACCGGCAAGTTTTTTTACCCCAAGATGGTACTCAGAATAGAATCCTATACGGCTTCTGATTGGATGATACAGGATTGGAATTACATTTAATCGAAAGCTTATCCAATTAGGTTTAAAAATTGCAGAAAATCATATTCACATTTTACGAAGTATAGAAAATATCCTCCATTTCTGCACGTCGGAGCCATTAAAAATATGCCTTTTTCATTAAGCGAAAAAAATAGACGATCTTTTTCAACTGCATTTTAAGTCAATTTCTGCCGCATGACCCTATATATTTTTTTAGTTGTAATGCAACACTGGCATTTCTAGTAACAGGAACTGCAATCTGTTTTTCCCTAGTTTGTGTAGTCTTCGAGAAAAAAAAATACGGAACACCAGTGGTACCCTATGGAAAATGCATTACGAATAATTGCGCTCTTGTAACCTATAGAAAAAAGACATTTTTTTTTAATAAGGCTTTGAAAAATGTTAAAAATAGTCATTTTGCTCGGAAAAAATGTGATACAGCGAGAAATTGGGTCAAATGGACTTTTCATCAACGTGAATTCAAGCTATAGTCTGTTTCCTATTTATGTTGATTTCCATATCTAAATCTAGGGTGGGCTCGAATGTCGACAAAGTATGAAGAGAATAGAACGGTTTTGTGATATCTACTGTTTTTATGGGGAAAAGCATGTGTATATCTTGAATTTGAAGATTCATTTTGGTTTTTAACAATAATGATCGTGACTCAGTTGCTATTCTAGCAAAAAGCTAATTTGGTGAAAATTGACCGAAAGGGTCCCTAAGCAAACACCAACGATTTAGTTAAATTGCAAAGTAGAAAAATTAATCTTGGCATTGAATATTATAGTCCACGAATAGTTTTTCTTGCCAAAGTAGTAATATTATCATATTTTCAAAATTTGGAAAAACTATAGTCTGTTTCAAAAACGTGTTTTTTCAAGAAATGGTTTCATTTAAAGCCATTCTTCAAAATTCGATGTAGCTTTTCCATATCAGAACGGTTTTGTCGACAATATGATCAGTGCTGGGTGGCCTTTGAAAAATAAGGCCAGTAAATAAACTTTATCTTCATGTCTTTTTGAGCAGTACCGTATTTGGTGAAAAAATCAGTTCAAATTTTTGGCCCGATCGGCGGGCAAAAACTAATTCTCAAAATTAAGAGAGTGATCAGATAATGTTTTAAAGACGTGATTTTATCTAGATAGACGCTAGCGCTTCATTTAGCGCGGGCGCTTAATTTTCGGAATTTTTTTTCATTACCGTATAGGTTACAAGAGCGCAATTATTTGTTTACATTTTACCGGCAAGTTTTTTTACCCCAAGATGGTACTCAGAATAGAATCCTATACGGCTTCTGATTGGATGATACAGGATTGGAATTACATTTAATCGAAAGCTTATCCAATTAGGTTTAAAAATTGCAGAAAATCATATTCACATTTTACGAAGTATAGAAAATATCCTCCATTTCTGCACGTCGGAGCCATTAAAAATATGCCTTTTTCATTAAGCGAAAAAAATAGACGATCTTTTTCAACTGCATTTTAAGTCAATTTCTGCCGCATGACCCTATATATTTTTTTAGTTGTAATGCAACACTGGCATTTCTAGTAACAGGAACTGCAATCTGTTTTTCCCTAGTTTGTGTAGTCTTCGAGAAAAAAAAATACGGAACACCAGTGGTACCCTATGGAAAATGCATTACGAATAATTGCGCTCTTGTAACCTATAGAAAAAAGACATTTTTTTTTAATAAGGCTTTGAAAAATGTTAAAAATAGTCATTTTGCTCGGAAAAAATGTGATACAGCGAGAAATTGGGTCAAATGGACTTTTCATCAACGTGAATTCAAGCTATAGTCTGTTTCCTATTTATGTTGATTTCCATATCTAAATCTAGGGTGGGCTCGAATGTCGACAAAGTATGAAGAGAATAGAACGGTTTTGTGATATCTACTGTTTTTATGGGGAAAAGCATGTGTATATCTTGAATTTGAAGATTCATTTTGGTTTTTAACAATAATGATCGTGACTCAGTTGCTATTCTAGCAAAAAGCTAATTTGGTGAAAATTGACCGAAAGGGTCCCTAAGCAAACACCAACGATTTAGTTAAATTGCAAAGTAGAAAAATTAATCTTGGCATTGAATATTATAGTCCACGAATAGTTTTTCTTGCCAAAGTAGTAATATTATCATATTTTCAAAATTTGGAAAAACTATAGTCTGTTTCAAAAACGTGTTTTTTCAAGAAATGGTTTCATTTAAAGCCATTCTTCAAAATTCGATGTAGCTTTTCCATATCAGAACGGTTTTGTCGACAATATGATCAGTGCTGGGTGGCCTTTGAAAAATAAGGCCAGTAAATAAACTTTATCTTCATGTCTTTTTGAGCAGTACCGTATTTGGTGAAAAAATCAGTTCAAATTTTTGGCCCGATCGGCGGGCAAAAACTAATTCTCAAAATTAAGAGAGTGATCAGATAATGTTTTAAAGACGTGATTTTATCTAGATAGACGCTAGCGCTTCATTTAGCGCGGGCGCTTAATTTTCGGAATTTTTTTTTATTACCGTATAGGTTACAAGAGCGCAATTATTTGTTTACATTTTACCGGCAAGTTTTTTTACCCCAAGATGGTACTCAGAATAGAATCCTATACGGCTTCTGATTGGATGATACAGGATTGGAATTACATTTAATCGAAAGCTTATCCAATTAGGTTTAAAAATTGCAGAAAATCATATTCACATTTTACGAAGTATAGAAAATATCCTCCATTTCTGCACGTCGGAGCCATTAAAAATATGCCTTTTTCATTAAGCGAAAAAAATAGACGATCTTTTTCAACTGCATTTTAAGTCAATTTCTGCCGCATGACCCTATATATTTTTTTAGTTGTAATGCAACACTGGCATTTCTAGTAACAGGAACTGCAATCTGTTTTTCCCTAGTTTGTGTAGTCTTCGAGAAAAAAAAATACGGAACACCAGTGGTACCCTATGGAAAATGCATTACGAATAATTGCGCTCTTGTAACCTATAGAAAAAAGACATTTTTTTTTAATAAGGCTTTGAAAAATGTTAAAAATAGTCATTTTGCTCGGAAAAAATGTGATACAGCGAGAAATTGGGTCAAATGGACTTTTCATCAACGTGAATTCAAGCTATAGTCTGTTTCCTATTTATGTTGATTTCCATATCTAAATCTAGGGTGGGCTCGAATGTCGACAAAGTATGAAGAGAATAGAACGGTTTTGTGATATCTACTGTTTTTATGGGGA